GATGAGATGGATCGATTCTGTGAGTGGAGTGGTGGGAATGAGTGTGTTTGAGATGGCGAGATTGGCGCAGGATAGAATGGCATTTAGGGCTCTTGTACATCGGGTCGCTATGAGTCACAAGTGACTCAATGGCACACAACAACAACAACAACAATGTGTCATCACAACAAGATAAAGGTAAACAACCCAATTGAAAAATGGGCACAGGAAAAAAAAAAGAAAAATGGGCACAGTATATGAACAGACACTTCACCAAAGAAGACATCCAGTTGTCAAACAAACACATGAAGAAATGTTCAAAATCCCTAGCTTTAAGAGAGATGCAAATCAAAACAACTATGAGATATCATCTCACCTCAGTAAGAATAGCAAAATTTAACAGAACAGCGAATAACAGATGCTGGTGAGGTTACTGAGAAACTGGAACCCTTATTCACTGTTGGTGGGAGTGTAAAATGGTGCAACCACTATAGAAGGATGTATGTTGCTTTTTCAGAAAGTTGGACAAACAGATGGATAGAGAAGCTGTAGTATATTCACACAATGGAGTACTAAGGTGCACCGAAAAACAAGGAACTCATGAAATATTACACAAAATGGGTGACCTTGGAGGACATTAAGCTGAGTGAAATATCTCAGTCACAAAAAGATAAATACAGCATAATGCCACTGTTATAAAAGACGACTAGCATAGTGGTTGGGGGGAGACTGAGAAAGAGGGGATAAATAATATCTGTTGCATTGAAACAGTTGAGGGAGAGAACTGTTTAAAAGTGATATATGATTATATAATATTGTTATGACAGGAGTCCAGAACGAAGGTAGCATAGTGGAGTGAACTTGGCGGGGAGGGATTGAGTAACAAAGAATTTTTTCTTTTACTTTTCAAAGAGAAGAACGAATTGGAGGGGAGGGGTGGACAGGGAAAAAAGTGCAACAGTGAATGAATTGGAAATCCAAAATCTCTGTAAACTTTCACTAAAATTAAATTTTTTTAAAAAGACGAAAGTGTGCCTGATCTGGGCCATGGTATTTTTAATTGTGTCTTACACATCTGAAAGTTGGACAATGAATAAGAATGACAGAAGAATGGGTATTTTTGAATTGTGGTGGTGGAGAGTACTGCATGTTCCATGAACTACCAATCTTGTCTTGGAAAAAGTGCAATCAAGGTGCTTCTTAGAACCAAGGATGGTGAGACTTCCTCTCAAATGCCTTGGGCACGTTGTCAGGAGGGACTGTTGTTGTTGTTGTTGTTATGTGCTGTCGAGTCGCCTGTGACTTATAGCGACCTTTGGAAAAAGACATCTTACTAGAAAAGGCAAAGAGTCAGAGCAAGAGGGGAAGATCCTTAATAAAATGGATTGACAGAGTGCCTGTAATAAGCATATCAGAAATCACGAGGCTAGTGTAGAAGAGGGCAAGGTTCAGATCCGTTGTTCACAGAGTTGCCAGGAATTGTAGCCAATTTGACAGCATCTAGTCAACAACAATATTGTGCTTACATCATGTTGTATTATGTTATGTGTTGTTGTTGATTGCCATCTAGTCGAGCACAACTCATAGCGACCCTATGGACAAAAGACCTGAAGTCGTTCTATAATATTGTATCTCCAAGTTCATGGAGTTTCCAGAGGCATGTTGTTTAGGAAGTGTATGTCACTCCTGCTTCCAAATGTTAGGTGTACATATGATTTTCTAAGTTTATTTATTATTTATGGTTTAAGGATATGAATACAAGTTGAAAAATGGAGTTCTGGTGATCTAGTGATAAGGAATTGCACTGGTAACACAAAGGCACTGACTTCAAATCCACCAGTCACACTGTGGGAGAAAGATGGGCAATTTCTTCCTGTGCAATTAACTGTCTCTGAATAATCAACTGGCAGGTCAATTCTGACTCAACAGTACGTAACAACATCAACAACAATGTCTAAGTTGAAAAGGGATCGACTGTGAGGGTTGTATGTCATCTTGGTTCCCTATGGTTCTCTGGTTTGGCAGTTGTGATAGGGTCATGCCTTTGATGTGATAGGGTCATGCCCTTGATGGATTGGCTATGATGGGACAGTGGCTGTGGGGATGTTTCTTTGGGGGTGTGGTCAAATGTAGAATATAAAGAAGTCTGACAGAGCTGGCTTGCTTTTTGTTTGCTCTCAATCTGAAACCTGGCTCCATCATCTCTTTGGTTCCTTCGACCAAAGACTTTCCTTGCCTGCCTTACTTGGTGATCTTGGGTTTGTCAGCCTCTGTAACTGTGGGCCACAGGGGTAAAAGTTGCCAGCCTCTGCATCGAAGTAATTTTTTTTATGTAAATGTGTGTGTGTGTGTGTGTGTGTGTGTGTGTGTTGTTGATGTGTACCATTGAGTTGGAAGCAACTCAGAGCTGATCTCAGAGGCAGTGTATCAATGCTCAGAAGGAGATTTCCCATATTTGTTCTGCAGAGCAGCTGGTGCATTCAAACTGCATCCCTTTGGGATGACAGCTCAGCTTCTTACCATCAGGACATCAGAGCACACATTATCTCTTTATCTCTCTATCTTTATGTGTATTTGCTTCTCCAGAAAGCTCAGCCTCTGACATGTTTCATGCTGTATCTATTACTATTGTTGTTGTAATGCATCATCGAGTCACTTGCAACTCATAGCAACTCTAAGTACAACAGCCCTGAAGCCTGCTCTATCTGTGCCAACTGTACTGTCTCTGATATACCTACCCTCATTACCCCAGTCACTGAATCAATCCATCCCATCGAGTGTCTTCCTCTCTTGGACTGTCCCTCCACCCTCCCAAGCATGGTGTCCCTCTCCAAAAACTGGTCCCTACTTGCAACATACCCAACGTAGTCAGACCAAGCCTCAGAATCCTTGTCTCCAAAGAGCAGCCTGGTTTCACCCCTTTCAGGACAAACCTGTTTGTTCTCTTGGCAGTATATTCAATACTCTTCTCCAGTATCACAGCTCAAATGTATCAATTCTTTTTCTATCATCCCTATCCATTGTCCAGCTTTCTGATGCATAGCAGGCAATTGCAAAGACTATGACTTGGATCAGGCACACCTTAGTCTCCAGACTAATGCCATTGCTCTTCAGTACTCTGGAGAGGTCCCTGACAATAGACTTTATCAGAGCAATTCATCTTTTGATTTCCTGGATGCTGGTACCAAGAGTGTTGCTCATGGAGCCAAGCAAACTATTATTAATAAAGCACAATAAAGTATGTCTGCCTCAGGAAATAATACTAGGATGGCAGATCTCTGTAGAATGGAAATTGGGGGAAATGTCCGTGAGAGCTTCCCACTTCCCAGCTCTTGGTGGGTCAGATGGATCATATTCTTTCTTCACCTTAGGAATCTGTGTCACCCACATTGGGGTGACTATGAATGTAGTACTCCTGATCAATTCCAAACCTTTAATTTCTTCTCTACTGTATTAATCCCATCTCCACATCTCATCATTCCAGAAACCAGACTTGAATCTCTACTCTTCCTGAAACTTAATCCATATTTTGACATGTGAGATCCGAACAATGGCATTCTGAAAATTTGTCACCAGAAGTTTTACACATCTTACTTTTCCCACAAAACCGTCTTCGTAAAATACCTTCTGATCCAAGTTTCCTCTCACGAGTGGTCCCAGCAGGGTATAGTACGTGCAGCCGCCTGTCTCCTCAACAGGCTCATAGCCTAGTTCTACTAGCCCATTTTCCAACTGGTACTGCCTGTTCTTGCCAGTGCCTGTCAACACCTGGATCCGGCTCACCTCATGTGACTCATCAAAAATCACCAGGTAGCTGCTGCCATCAAAGGCAAAATCAGTCTGAAAGTAATCTTCATTCAAAAAATAGGCATGTTCTGGGGGATGGAGACCTTTCACCAACATGCTAGTGAAGATTTGGGCAGGAGGGTTTTCAGGTCCATCTTCTTCCTTTTCCTTTTCTTCTTGATAACATGCCTTCTCAAAAGTGATACGGTTCTTCTGAGAATGGAAAAGGTAAGTAGTGGGGCTAATTGGAACTCTCTGGCCCAAGAGAAAACGGAACCTTGAGAGAAGCAAGTCTGTTGGGGCGTCCTGGAAGAGCAAGAAGAAGGTGCTCAGCTGGGAGAGGTGAATTGTGTGGAAAACTTTCCCCGAGAAACGTAGATCCGAGAACTCCAAGGTCACCCAAGGTATTTCCTTCCAAGCTTTTACTGTCCAATAGATTAAAGCAACATATTTGGAGCTGCAGTGAACATTATCTCCTGTCATTAGAAAGTAATCTGAGAGGTTGCTAGCAAAGTTCATGAGGAGGGCGTAATCTGTGTTCTGCTTGGAATAAAATGCCTCACGGAATGGGGAGTGACTGGCATTTTTGCCATCTTTTGGAAGGGAAGAGTCGTTGAGGAGACCACGGATCACAAGTAGCTTCTGGGCCTTGATATGTGCTTTGAAGAGGCCTGAGATATTTGCTACTGTTCCCCTGAGCTGCTCAGGGTCAAGATTTGGCAGGTGGACCAGCACTATGAAATAGTTCTGCTCATTTAGTGAGGTTGTCTGGAACAGGTATTGCAAGGTATCCACGAGGTAGCTTTCATTAGGATGCTGCATGGAGGAAATTCCCACTGTCAGGAGTTCTAAGGAGAGATACGAAGATCTTCAGGTTAGTCAAGAGTTCATAGACTATTCTCCAGCCTTCCCTTGCATGGCACCCTGAGGTTAATGTATAAGCCATCAATGGGGAGGCGTTACCTAGTCAGAAGTGGTCAAGAATGCTTGCACGTTTGATTATAACCTCTAAAAACTTGCCCAAGTGTTACTAGGAAGAACAAGACTTTTTAACGAACAAGGCAGCTACCTACCCAAGGCAATTTTTCTGGTCTGGAAGATTATTTTAGCCTAGGCCTTGACTTTCAGAGTTACCTCAGACCTGGAGTAGACAGTTTTCAGGCACTTGTGTAAACCTGAAGGTTCTCTTCACTATGGCAAGTCCTACACCCCTCTCTAAACTACTTTGAGTCAATTCTGACTCATAGTGCTGGGACGAAACTACCCGTATATCTCCCACTGAGCAGCTGCTAGATTAAAATAATTCATTTATGGGTTAGCAATACAACGTATTACACAATACACCACCAGTTTTCATTCTATCCAGTTCTTTTCTCAGTGGCTGTTTTAACTCCTCTTCAACCCTGACTTATCCTTCTTCGGTACCTGTCATCAATGAGTTTGCCTAAGGGATGGATATGTGTCTAGGTTACTAGGGTTTTCTGATCTTTGCCATTCAAAGAAGAAGAGAAAAGCACTCAAGGTTAGAATCTGTATTAAACTCTCTCAGAGCTTTCTGTTTGCCTCATCAGACCCTTCATTTTCACTCTCTGCCTATTTCCTCCTTTTCTTGTCCCATGTCTGACTCTGCCCTCCCATGTACTCACTCTTTTTCGTAGGAAGGGTTCCAGCCAGGATTATGCAGTTGGCATGTTGGAGTAGAGGGGAGTCTTCCTGTATCTTCTTGAAGGATCTCACATGGTTCTTGCTTTCAGAGCTGATTTGTTCCTCAATAATCTGCCAAGCGGTTTGCTGCTTCTTTTCCTCCTGAGGATAGGTTATGCATCAGTCCTGATTCATCTCTGAGTCTTTTGAAAACAATTGCATTTCAGTTCCTTCAAACCCCAGGATACCAGTTTCCAGCTTTACTGTGCCCGTGTTAGGTCCACTGCAATTCCCACCGCATCAGGAAAATACACAGGGGTTTCAGTGTGGGTTACAGCCCCTGCAGCAAGGGAGTCGGACACCGCCCCCACCCCATTTGTGTGACAGGTACTAGGTTTATGTAGGGTAAAGAATGTCTCATTACCACTTTCTCCGCCATTACTACTGGTAAAAACAATCTAACTCAAGTTAGGACTAGCTGCTGTGATACTGAAGATTAATTCTTTGTCCTTGTCCACCAGGAATTTGTATACAGTGCCTCAATTTGAAAGTCCTTTCTTTGCCTAAATTCTAACCACTCCCACATTTCGAAACTACTCCCCACATTAATCCTATGAGTTGCTCTAGTTAGTTTCGAGCATATTAAGAAAAAATACGAACTATGAAATCTCAGGACACTTACGGTGGACTGGGATTTGCCACTTGCACGTATCCTACAATTGGGGAATTTATGTCAGGGCTCTGAGTCTCGGCCCCTTCGTTTATGAAACAAGACAACAAGCATTTTCCGTGCCAGCCTCTAGTGACAAAATTGGCCAACACTTAAAAAGTCCTAAAGGTGAGTTCGTCCTTTCGGCTGGTATGATCCTCTGCATGTTATCTTCCCTGTCTGAATCCTACCCATATTTCAAATGACTGTTTTAAAATCAAGAATCTAGAGAGCAACTTTGAGTGAAATGTCAGGGCTTGGTTTTGAACGATTCCTTTAACAATCTAGAAGATTCTCGTGAAGTCTGTGAAGGGAAGGGATGAAGTCTCTACCACTCTCATTTCATACCAATCTACTGGATGGGGATCATGTCGTTGTTATTAGGTGTTCTGAGTAGGGACTGAATTGTAGCTGACCTTCCAGTGGTTTTTCAGACGATTTCCCATCTTTTTCCCTTGGAGCAGCTGGTGGATTCAAGCCGTGCACCTTTGTATTAGCAGCGCAACTCCTTACCACTAAGCCACCAGAGCTCCCTAACTGGGTCTCTTCCTTACTACAAATTAGGTATCAAGACTCTTCTTTCCCAAGTCTAATACTGTTCTGTTTCTCCTGGAAAATTCTCTGTTCTTCATCTGCTCCTCACTGTTGTTACCATTAACAGTTAAATATTTTAAAGTGTTATTTCCCCCTTTTCTGAGGAGACAATTGACAAAATGTAAATGGCCTTTTCTTAAGGAAAATAATAAAAATTATATGACTTCTTTTTAAAATTTAATTTTTAATCATTCACATACATTGCATTTCAGTTATGTTCATTGTATTTTATACATTCATTCATATGGATTGCATTTCATGTCCTTATTTACTATTGACCAACGTCTCTTATCATCCCATCTCATCAAACACCCACTGCATCTTGTCTATGCTTTCGCCCCTACTAATTCGTCCACTAATTGATACTGTCCTAATGCTTTTCCCTTCTCTCTTCTTCATCCTCCTTTCCCCACACCTCCTCTTTTGAATAGCTGTAAACATCTTGTTCCTATTTGCTAAGTGCAATTGCCATATTGTCTTTCCTCTATTCTTCTTATAGGTTGGTCCTCCCTATATCACTTCTTTGGGTGGTCATCAAAAAGAATCAGTCTAAGTTCTTATCCACTCTTTTCTCAGAACATATGCAGCAATTCTAGAATGTTCTACAGGCATGAATCATAAACACTGACATATATACTTTGACCTCTTTGGTTTCCTATTTAGTGACTGAAAAATGCCTTCATTATCCGGCTCTAGCACTTACCAAATAATGCTTGTATTTTTGATGCTGGTTTCTCGCAAAGAAACAACTCAAGAGGACTAATGTCACCAGTGCTATGAAACATTTCCAGAGGCACTTGTACATGTTGCCTGGGCCTAGCTGTAGTCCTGCAGAGAAACGGCACATCCTCAGTGTCTCCTCACCATAAACACAGTAACCATTTTTATTGCCTTTTGCTCTTCCATCTCTAATTTAGAGCATCATTACTTGATTCTTTTGTGAACTTTCCCCCTTTATGGTTCACTGACAACCCCTTTCCCCACCTTTTGTTGTTGTTGTTGCTGTCTTAAATAGAAAGTGGCCAAGAAACCTTACTTGAAACACACTCCACATTCTCTACCTACTGTATGGTGTCTGAAGATACCGAGAGAAGTTGTCTTTATTCATCTAGAGGTACGTTTTAGAAAAAACTGATAAAAGAAAATGGACAGGGCCACACTAACAAGGAGAAAGAAAGCCCTCTTAGAGCAGGGGCCTTGACCAGAGAGGTCATATCACCAAAGAGTAGAAACCAAGAAGGCAAGCAAAGGGCCTCAATATTATTCAGGCCTCCCCAAATCCTCAAGTTTTCCTCTTGAGTTTTCTGTTTGTCTCCCAGATATTATGCTTTTGGTCCCATATGACTCACCTCTGTACCTTGTTTCCTTCCAAGTTTGTGTTTTATAGGGACAAAAGCAGCACAGCCTTTCTAACCATGTGAAAATCCTCACCATAGAGTAGTGAGTTCGTTGGTGTCATTTGTTTATCTGATGGCTCTTGAATAACAGAGGTGAGGGCAGTGAAGAAGCAGAGAAAAGGGAACTTGAGGTTCTTTAAAGAGCAGGCATTTCTCTGAAACTGAAAGAAAATATGTTTTATGTTAGGATTTGTAGGGCTGAGCTGTGACTGTGTAACAGGATGTGACTACCAAATATGTCCTCTGAGCGTGCCAAACCTGGTTACTTCTCCCAGGAGATGCTCCCTAACAACCATTGTTTTCTCTGAATGGGATATAGGCAGCTCACTATGTCCACAGTCACACCAAAACCAATTTGCAGTGAAAGATTAGCTTTGAGTGGTGAGAAATTCTTGGAACCAGCCATTCACTTGTGGCTGAGAGAGTGAGACTTTCTAAACAATTTGCTTCTCTACGTTCTCTAACCGAAGGAAGAGGAGTTGAAGTGGCATGTGTCATTTCTAGGTGAGATGGTGAAAAATCCAAATTAGATTCTCCATTTCATTCTCCTGCACCGAGGACTGAGTCGGCCAGGTGTTTCAGATCCTGGTTTCCAGAGAGTAGAGCAGCTGTCATCCGAGTTCCCTGGTGACGGACGCTACGAAGCAGAGCTAGTCCCTCATCCCTAAGTCTACATGAAGCCTGTAGTATGAGGGAGAAATGAATATTATTGCCATAAACTACTGAGTTTGGGGCTTGTTTGTAACCATGGCCTAACTTAGTCTATTCTGTTGATGCAGCAATTTAGAAAGAACTAAAAGTAGGACTCTATTGCTTTGATTGATGCTGGCAGAGATAGATGTTTAGTAATACCTTCAACAGCTTAGAAAATCCTCACAGAATGTTCTAAAAGAGAGCGGTAGAGAGCCATGGACTCCTTATTCATTATTATAATTCTCTACCCCATTTCCAGGCTAACTTCAGGTCCTGCTGTGAGGTAGGTCTCCTTGTAATTATAGTGACTAGTTTGGTTTTTTATGAAACCTGGATCATGAAACCTCCAATTCATTCCAAGCCCCGCTATTGTTGTTTGGCCCTGGAAATTTCCCCATTATTTACCTGTTCCTCTCCAATATCATCACTGACAACATCTGTGTATAAACAGTGTGACTGGTGGTGGGATGGCTGTCTGGTCTCCTCTAACTCTATGAAGGAGAGCAGTCACCATCTGCTACATTCACGCACAAAATTGACTCCTATGATGTTAGCTATGACACTCTTCATACCCACTTCTACCAATTCTAACACCAGCTGTCCCTCTCAGGGCTCCTGGTGCCCTATTATTGGATCTGCTAATCCATGGCAATGGCCACACAGAACTCACAGGCCATATTAACTGCTATGGGGTTTATTAAGGAAGATAACAAGCCACAGTTCAGAATGGAAAGAAGATAGAGTTCTTCAGTCAGGACAACCTCCGCAGGGTACTCAAGAGGCCT